AGTGTTTATCCTACAGTGACACATCAGCCCTGATGTCACAGTGGTTAAAGTGCTTTACTGTCAACTGGAGAGTCAGCAGTTTAAACCCATCAGTTACACTGTGGAGCCAAGCCATGCTCCTTTCTGAAGTCACAGGGTAACTCCAGTCACACCCGTGCTTGAATCACACCTTTTATTGCACAAGAAATGAAAGTAGGGAGAGGGGAGCCGACAGAGGGCTCTGGGTACCATCATTAAAAAGAAAAAAAGCCAGGAGTACAATGTGTCCTTTGGACCCAGGGCCCCTGTGCTGAGAACCTTCTAGATCCAAGGGCAGACTGCAGCTAAGCTCACAAATGAGCTGACACAGAGAAAGTCTTCCCCAGAACACGGTTCTAGCCACCTAACTATGAGAGAATTAATTTCTGCTTATTAGAACCATCCACTTGTGGTATTTCTGTTACAGAAGCACTAGAGAACTGAGTCACCAACCAACCCAACCCTCAAAGAAAAACAGTAACAAAACAAAAACTGGTGCATTTCAGTTGGTAATATGTCCAACAAAAGAGGAGAATGAATCCGTTTTTGGGACCCTATACCAAGTCCTGGTGTGGCGCTGTGGGCTAATGTGTCAGACTGCAAAGTTGTTTGAACTGCAAGGTGGGTGATTCAAGCTCACCAGCTGCTTCTTGGAAACTGTTTGTGGGGTTGCTATGTGTCGGAATCCACTCAACAGAACTTAACAACAACTATACTTAGGACTCCTAACTGCAAAGTCAGTAGTTCAAACCCACCAGTCACTCCTCAGATACCCCAGATAAGGTCACTATGAGTCAGAACTAGCTCAACGGCACTTAAAAACAACTACATTGTTTTTTCAACAACGCAACACTAAACATGAATCATTAGTGTTACACTGTTGAAAAAACGAACAGAACACATTCAATTTGGGGTTATATTGTTGTTCCTGTTGTGTGTCAAGTCAACCCAACTCATAGCAAACACACGAGACAGAACACACCTACCCCACAAGGTTTTCTTGACTGTCAGACTTTGTTCAGGGGAGACACTGGATGGGTCTGAGCAGAGCGCTTCATCTTCGTACCACCCTGGGCTCCGTACAGCTCCATTAACAGAATTTTGTCTCTAAAGACTAAGGTACGAATTTCCCCATTTCATGCCATTCAGAACCTACCTAGAATTTAGTGTGCTATAAACTAGATACCAGTTTAAAGAAAAGGAAAAAAGTTTGTTCTTAAAAGAGTAGCGGAAGGGAATGGAAATATTTAGCCTGGGCAGATGTTCTGTTTATTCATTCGTTTGTTTCTAAACACATTTATTAAATGTAAATTACAAATGGGCATGTTAGGTGCTGAAAACATAAAACAACTGTATCATAGTGTTTCTTCCATAGCAAAGGGAGAAAACCGTAACTGCTGTTAACAACGTTAGCTGTGCTCCCTCCTTTAGTCTTAGGAAGCAAGATTGTCACTCATCTTCAGGATGTGTAACCTCGTCATTTGCCCAATGGCTTAGAGAAGTGGGTGGGGCACCTAAGACCTAAATCCAGGTTCTTTTCAGCCTGCAGTGTGTGTTCTTAACCACTGGGCATATTGCCATTGGAAACCTCTGGCTCATAGGTTTGCCGTCTTTGCGGGTCGTCCCTCTGGAAGCACAATTTTGCATTTAACCAAGCACAGGTTTGTACAGATTTCATATTCACCATGTTCCTACACATATTTAATCTGGGGATTGAAAAATGAACATTTTAGGTAGCTTCTATTATTACCTGGCTTGCTAACTTAAAGGTTGATGGTTCAATCCCACCAACAGCTCCCTAGGAAGAAGACCCAGAGATCTGCTTCCATAAAGATTACAGCCTAGACAACTCTCTGGCTGGCACAGTCCTGCTCCGTAACGCACAGGGTTGTCATGAGACCAGACCAACTTGAAGGCAACGTATGTGTCTTGTTTATTATGACATGTTGTTGGTGGTGGTTGTCACTGAGTCCATTTTAACTCACGGTGACACCATGTGTGCAGAGTAAGGTTTTCAAGGCTGTGACATTTGGGAAATGGATTGCCATACTTTTCTTCAGAGGTACCTCTGGATGGATTCAAACCACCAAACTTTTGGCTAGTAGTCGAATGCTTAACCATTTGTGTCACGAGGGACTCCACTATCATTTCATGTTGTTGTTACTGTTAAGTGCTGTTGGGTCGGTTTGGACTCACAGCGACCCTGTATAAGGTTTTAGAGGAGCAGCTGGTGAGTTTGAACCACCGACCTTGTGGTTCAAACCAACCTTTCGGTCCAGTGCTTATCCTACAGCGTCACACCAGGATAATTATCTTTGTTGTTGGTGTTTTTTTTCTCCTTAAATTATTTTAATGTAAACACTAAGTTATTGTACATTTCCAGGGAACTTGGCCTTATAGACCAAGAAGAAACAGACCTGCTGCTGCCTTTTGTGATCTTTATGCTTTGGGGAGCAGTACTGGGAACAGGACTACAATTATAAAGGCTTGTTGGTGCCTATAATTGGTCTTAGATGTGCTGGTAGGTCATTTAACATACACTGTGCCTGGGTGCTAGAGACACAGAGGCATGTTTGCTTTAAACTAGCTGCTGAGTTGAAATGATTCCATTGGATTTTCACTTCTCAATAGGACAGGCACGATCACCACTGTTAAATGTATGAGGAGGTTGAGTGGACTGCACAGCAATACATTGTAAGAGTTAGAAACTTGTGGCACAGGGGCTTAAACGTTGGGCTGTTAACTACAATGTCGGTGGTTCAAACCCACCAGCCGCTCTGAGGGACAGAGACGAAGCTGTCTGCTCACTTCCAGATGAAACTCTTATGTGAGTCACTATAAGCCAGAATCAACACCAGTGGGTTTGTCGGGCACTTTGCACAGGTATGACGCTGTGTTGTAAGCAATGGATCACAAGCTTGGTTTGAACAGCAAGGTCGGCAGTTCAAAGTCATCAGCTGCTCCTCAGAAACACTATCCAGGGTCACTACGAGTTGGAAGTGACATGACAGCACATAATACGTGGAAATGGGCTAGGAAGGGCTGAGAGCCTCTTGGAGAGCTTTTGTTAATTGATCGACTCTTGTCAAATATCTCTGAAACTGAATGAAGTATAAGGATGGGCCAGGGCGTTCCCACTTTAAAACACCAGTGTTGTCTTTACTCACCTCTCAAACCCAGGAAAGGGGAACAAACAAGAGCAGCCAATGCTAAACAGGTACATACTGCTTAAGTAACAACACTGGAAAAAGTGAAGCCAACATGTCGCAATGGTAAGCCATTAGCTCAGGACATAGGAAGTTCAGGATGTCACTGTCTCCTCAAGGATTCATGTGGAGATCTAAAAATAGCAAGAGGTAAAACCGGCTCCTCTTACACCAGTGCTCCGCTGGTTATTCTGTGCCCTTCACTTGACTCTGACACATAGCGACCCTAAAGAACTGTCCCAAAGGGTTTCTTAGACAGTTGTGTCTATTTAGGGTTCCTAGGTGCGGTGTGGTGGATTCATGTGCTGGACGACAAGGTTGGTTTGAACCACAAGGTCAGTGGTTCAAGCTCACCAGCCGCTCCTTGGAAACCCTATATGGGGTCGCTATGGGTTGGAACTGACTCAACAGCACTTAACAAGGCAGTGGCTCAGTAGGATAAGCACTGGATTGGAAGACACGTGGTTGGCAATTCAAGCCCACCAGCTGTTCCGTGGGAAAAAGAGGAGGCTTTCTGCTCCTGCAGAGATGCATAGCCGGAGAAACCCTATACCGACTCAGTATGAGCTGGAACCAGGGTTTTCTAGGTGGTAATGTCTATGAGATCAGATCACCAGATCTTTCTCCCTTTGAGCCGCTGTGTGGGTTTGAACCATGACTTTCTGTTTAGCAGCCAAGATCTTAATCCTTTGCCTTCAAGGCTCCTCTCTGTGTGCGTAAAACCAATACCAACCAACCAAACAACCCCACGGCCACTGGGTAGCTCCCTACTCATACTGAGCTTACAGGACATTGCTGTACTACTAGAAAGTATGCGGTGGCTGCGTATTCAAATTCCCAACCTTTCAGTTAGCAGCCAATTGCTTCATCACTGAACCACCAGGGATCCTTTCGAGCTGCATTGTGGGGTGAAATAAAGCTACTGATGGTCACTTAGTCTGGATTTATAGATGTAAAATAGAGAAATCATTGTTAGTGTTATTAAGTGCTATTGAGTCAGTTCTGACTCATAGCAACCCTGTATAGGGTTTCTGAGAAGCGGCTGGTAGGTTTGAACCGCAGACCTTGTGGTTCAAACCGACCTTGTAGTCCAACGCATTATCCTGCAGCACCACATCAGGACTCTATATCAAGTCATGTTGGTACTATTAACTGCCTTCTAGTCAATTCCAACTCATAAGGAGCTCTGGTAGCATACTGGTTATGAATCGGGCTGCTAACCTCACGGTCAGCAGTTTGAAACTACCAGCTGTTCCATGGGAGAAAGATGAGGCTTTCTGCTCCCATAAAGATTTATAGCCTCGGAAACCCTGTACAGGGTCACTATGAGTCGGAACCGACTCCATGGCACATAACAACAATAAAGTCATTTCCAACTCATAGTGATCCTATATAGGGTTTCTGAGGAGCGCCTGGTGAATTTGAACTGCTGACCTTAAGGTTCAAACTGAACTTGTGGTACAGTAGTATATCATCCCATAGTGCCACACCAGGACTTAGTATACTAAGTCATTCTAAGTATTAATACTTGAGCACAGCCTCTGGTATGGATTACATCTCAATGTCAAGAAAACAAAAAACCTCCCCACTGGACCAATAAACAACATTCTTATCAATGGAGAGAAGATTGAAGTTGTCAAGGACTTCATTCTTCTTGGATCAACTCTCAACACTCATGGAAGCAGCAGTCTAGAGATCAAACAACATATTGCTGCACAAGACCATTTCCCACCCCCAAATAAGATCTTTAATTTGTCATCATTAAAAGTCTGAATTTTAAACAGATTCTTGAACTGGTGGTTCATAGCCATCAGCTCGTTCAACTTTAGCACCTGTCTCATCTCCAGTAGCTTTTCCAGAACTACTGCCTTTACCATGAAGCTCCGTGAGTTTTCCCAACTCAAACTTGGGCTCCTTCAGCATTTTCACTTTCTTAACAAACACACCATGGAGAGGGTAAATAGACTGGCAAGCCTTCTTTATGTCCTTTCCAATGCTGTCTGGAGTCCGTTTATTGACCACTTCTTTCAAGTCATTTGTCTGCACCTCTCGGGTCATGAGTTCCATCATTTTCTTCCACATTTGATGGACCTATTGGTGTTGAGCATAAGATGTCTTCCAAATCTGGTTATTGCGTTTTTTAGTAAAACCAACACAGAACAGGCGAAGTAAATAACCATCCATAGTCTTGACATCAACGTGAACTTCAATCATGGTCTGCCATTTTTTGAGCATGGAGCACATTTTGTCACCAGTAAGATCCATGCCATGGAAGTTGGTCAAGCAGTTTTTGTCTGGAACATCCTCAGTAATTAGCTTGAATTTTCTAAATGCAACTTCATCATTCTGCAGATCAGCAAGACTCACTTCAAAAACAAGACCCTTAAGTCCATCAGATTCAATTTTGGTTCCTTGAGTCCTTGTGACTAGTGTTTTCCCAATATTTCTTATATTGAACACAGCTGGGGCCTTCACATCATACCAATCTTTCTTAGAAAATGGATCAATCGCTTTCTTCTTGGCTCCTTTTTTGCCACCTTTTGTAAGGCGCTTATTCTTGCCGACCGCCATGGTGCTGCTCAGAGAGCCAAAAAGGTTGTACAAGACATTTTTAAAAGTGTTGAAGAGCAAAGATGTCAGCTTGAAGACTAAGGTGTGCATGACCCAATCCATGGTATTTTCAATAACCCGATATGCATGTGAAAGCTGGACAGTGAATAAGGAAGACCTTAGAAGAATTGATATTTTTGAATTATGGTGTTGAAGGACAATATTGAAAGTGCCATGGGCTGACAAAAGAACCAATAGATCCATTTTGGAAGAAGTGCAGCCAGAGTGCTCTTTAGAGGCCAAGATGGCCAAACCTCATCTCTAGTACTTTATTGTCAGGAGGGACCAGTGGCTGGAGAAGGATATCATGTTTGGTAAGGTGGAGGGTCAGAGAAAAAGAGGAAGACCTACAGTGAGATGGATTGGCTGAGTGGCAGCATCGATGGACTCAAGCGTGGCAACAGTAGTGAGGTTGGCCCAGGATCGGTCAGTGTTTCATTCTGCTGTGCATAGGGTCGCTATGGGTCAGTACTGACTCGATGGCACCTAACAACAACAACAAGAGATTGTATATATATGTATATATATGCAGTTACAACTCTTTTTTGTTGTTGTAGTATAGAACAAATCAGTTGCTATTTACATTGTTGTTGTTAAGTGCCCTCAAGTTGGTTGCCACTCATAGGACCTTGTATAGGGTTTTTGCGGCTTTTAAATCTTTACAGGATTTAATTATTTGAGTATTTCAGTCATTCCTGTGCAAGTTTAAGCAAACAAATGTAACTAAAAACAAATCCTAAACACTGATTTTGAGGAACTTCAGATTTTTACTGGGCTCTGGTAATACAGGAGTTTCTGATTTGGTTTCAACTTTGGTTGGTTATGCGCCATGGAGTTGGTTCCGACTCTTAGCGACCCTGTACAGGGTTTCCGAGGCTGTAAATCTTTACGGGACCAGAAAGCCTCATTTTCCTCCTGTGGAACAGCTAGTAGTTTCGAACTGCCGACCTTGCTGTTCGCAGCCCGATTCGTAACCACTACGCTACCAGAGCTCCTTTAATCTGACTGTTGTTGTTGTTAAGTGCCGTTGAGTCGGTTCCGACCCATAGCGACCCTGTACAGGGTTTCCGAGGCTGTAAATCCTTACGGGAGCAGAAAGCCTCATCTTTCTCCCGCGGAGCGGCTGGTAGTTTCGAACCGCTGACCTTAATCTGACTAGAGGAGCCCAATTAGATGTGAGTAGTAAAAACTAGATTAGAATGGATTTATATAGTGACAGGTTTTCCTTTGAGATGATGATTAAAATGATTTGAATATGCTCAAGATAGGTACTATTTCTGGTGCCTCTTAAGGTATCTTTATTGTAAAGGACATACCTCAGGAAACAGGAAAGAAAATACCATCCTTCATTTTTGAGGAAGATAGCACTCCAGTCTACTTTGTTGGAATTCAATATCAGCCACAAGATTACTGTGTACATTTTCTTTTTTATTTATTAAAAGTTACTGTTTGTTTTTCTTTGCTTATATGTCTACTTTTATCACAGATTCCCCAAATCCTTCGAACTGGGTGTGCCTACGATAAAATGACACCTCAGTAATTGGCATCATATGAGAGTAGTAAGGGATTTTCTTTCTTTCTTTTTGTTAAAAAAATATGGGTTTTGTAACTACCACCAGACTACCCCAGTGACACCTAAAACAAAACAAACCAGAAAATCCCACTGCATGGAGATTTGTATACATAGCGAGTTGACAGGACAGGGTAGAGCTTGTCCTTAGGATGTAATCTTTACAGAGGAATCCTAGTGAGTCGCTGCGGGTTAAGGCGCTGGATTGCAAGGTCGGTTTTAGAACTACAAGATCGGCAGTTCAAGCTCACCAGTCGCTCCTCGGAAATCCCGCACAAGGTCGCTATGCTGGTCGACAAGCTTTACAGAATCAGACTGCCACGGTTTTCTCCCGTAGAGACGCTGGTTGGGCTCAAACCGTCCACCTTGAGGTTAGCAATCTAGCGCTTCTCTCCTGCACCACCAGGGCGGCACACTGTCTCCGAAGGCGGTGTTTGGGGAATGGCAGGCGAGGTCCAGAGCTCATTGTTGCTGGCAGCTCTCTGCAGAGCGGCGGCGCTACAAGTCCTATTTTAAGTAGTGCCTGTGTGCGCAGGTGCCAGCCTCCTCCTAGGCTGTGGAAGCCCCGTGCCTCCCCACCTGCTCGCCCCGCCCCCACGACGTGCAGGCCAGCCCCCCACGAGGCGTGGGGTCCACAGGAGACGCCCCACTCCCCGACCCCAGGCTGCACGTGGCTGGCCTCAGCAGCAGCTGGTGCGACAGCGACCACGAGTCCTCCCCTCCCCCCCCCGCAGGAGGGCACTGAGGGGAGGGGGCGGTGCACAGGACCCCCCCACACTGTGTCCTAGCAGGGCGAAGCCGCCCTCAGGGGACAAGACACAAGGAAGCCACCAGCACTAGCCTCGGGCTCCGCCAGCGTCTGGTCTGGCACGGTCCCCGCGCACCTGCTCACCTGTCTGCGCTCAGAGTGGGGCAGGGAGAAGACGAGGAGGGCCGGGCAGAAAGGGGTGCTCGGGGAAAGGTGGGGATGCAGAGAGGAGGGCGAATCAGAAACAGGGTACTCGGGGCAGGTGGGGTGCAGAGAAAAGGGGGGCCTGGGAGAAAGGGGTGCATGGGGAGCAAGTAGGGGTGCAGAGAATAGGGCCGGGAAGAAGAGGGTGCGCGGGGGCGGGTGGGGGTGCGGAGTGCGAGAGGACTGGGGGTCGGGTGGGCCGGGAGAGGAGGAGGAAGAGGAGGGCGGGATAGAAAAGGGGTTCGCCTAGGGAGGGGTGTCATTAGGGTGGGTGAGCACAGGCGGGCAGGGCAAACGCGGGGCGCACGAGGGGTGTCTAGGTGTGTGGGTGAGGAGAGGTGGGACGGGCGTAAACGGGGACCGGGGCAGTGACGAGGGGGTGTCAGGTGGGAGGGTGCAGAAAGAAACGAGGTCCGGGCCTTAGAGGGGCGCCCAAGGCCCCGCCCCTCCCCTCGGCCCCGCCCCTCGGCTCTGCGCAGGCGCGTGGCTGCTACCGCAGGCGGGGGGCGGCAACATGGCGGCGTGAGCGGCGGCGCCGGGCTTCATCACAACAGCGGCGGCCGCGGCAGCGTCGGCCAGTGTCGGCGCTTCAGTACCGGCCAGCGCCGCGGCCCGCTGATCCCTGCGTAGGGCTGCTGGGGCGGCCGCTGCATCTCGGCGGGGCGTGGGACCGCGGGGAGCAGCCGCCCAGCTGCGGGGCGGACACCGGCGCTTGCGGACGCAGAGAGCTGCGCGGCCGGAGAGTCCTGAGGACCGCGCTCGCGGGCGGGGGCCGGGCGGGCGCTCTGGGCTCAGCCGCCGCCTCAGCCGGCCGGGCCGGACACACAGGACCGGTGGATGCGGGCTCTAAGTGGAGGGCCGGGGTCGGGGCTGAGGCGAAGGCGGCGGCATCGGCGGAACAGGCGGGAGGCGGGCGCAGTGGCCCCGGGACCGGGACTCAGGCGGAATAGGTACCGAAAGGTCTGAGGTGGGGAAAGCGGCGGTACCAGGCAGAGGTAGCGGTACCAGGACAAGGGCTGAGGCGGCGCTACCGGCGGGTCTGAGGCAGGGAGAGCGGGACCGGGACCGGGTCTGAGGCAGAGGTAACGGTACCGGGACCGGGCTGAGGCGGGGGCGGCGGTCCCGGGACCTGTGTCCGCGCCCCTCCAAGGCCCATGGCGAGCGAGAAGCCGGGCCCGGGCCCTGAGCCGCAGTCGGCGGGGCTGGTGGCAGTCGGCGCAGGGGGCGGCGGGCCGGGCGAGCTGCGAGGCCCGGTGGGGAGCGGGCCCGTGGTGCTCCCTGCCGGCATGATCAACCCGTCGGTGCCGATCCGCAACATTCGGATGAAATTCGCCGTGCTGATCGGACTCATACAGGTCGGCGAGGTCAGCAACAGGGACATCGTGGAGACGGTGCTCAACCTGGTAAGGAGAGGGTGCGCGCGGGCCTCAGTGCTCCCTCCCCTCCCTCCCCTCCCCCTGTCCGCCCATCCCTCCTCCCACCACAGCCTCCCCTGGATCTCCCTCCTCAGCCCTCTATTCTCCCTCCCACCCCATGCCGCCCTCCCCATCCCCCTCCTCTCTCCCACCCCCACGCCCTTTCTCCTCATCTCCATGCTCCATGCCCCCTCATCCAAGTGCCCTTCTGACGCCTTCCCCTCCCCCTCACACCCCCTGCCCTCCCTCCTGGCTCCGTGTCCTCCCTCCGGATCTGACGTCCTCCTTCCCGAACTTATGTCCTCCCTCCTGATCTTAACGTCCTCCCTTGGGATTCCGCGTCCTCGTCCTCCTTCCCGATTTTACGTCCTCCCTCCCGATCTTATGTCCTCCCTCCTGATCTTAAGGTCCTCCCTCCCCATCTTATGTCCTCCCTCCTGATCTTAAGGTCCTCCCTTGGATTCCGCGTCCTCCTTCCCGATTTTATGTCCTCCCTCCCGCTCCCATGTCTTCCCTCCGGATCCCACGTCCTCCCTCCGGATCCCACGTCCTCCCTCCAGGTCCTTCGTCTGTCCTCCCAGCGGGTCCCATGTCCTCCTTCCCAGCCCCATGTCCTCCCAGCGGGTCCCATATCCTTCCCTCCCCATCACATGTCTTTTCTTTTCACCCCATGCCCGCTCTCCCTGTCCCATGCCCTGTCGCCTTGTCCTGTGCCCTTCCTCCTGATGCATCGTGCTCCCTCTTGGTCCTGTGTCCTCCCTCCCTAGTCTGGACATACTTCCTCCCGGCCTCCAAGTCCTCCCTCTCTGTCCACTTGATGTCGGCTTTCATCTCCTTCTGAGGAGGGTGAAGGCTTCCGGTGGACTTTGGAGCTCAGTCAGGGATGCAGTGGCCTCTGTCCCTGCTGCGTCTCCCGCCCCTGGGGACGCACGCTGGTCCCTGGGCCCTGTCTCTGGGGCTGTTGATGCCGGCGGAGCGGGGTGGTCTCCAGGGAGGAGGGCGTGCTGTCGGAACTGTGTTGGGCTCCTTGTAGTGCAGCCCGACTGCGTGTGTGTTTGTGTGCGTGCGCCCTTGTATAAGTGTGTGCGCCCGTGTATATGTGCGTGCGCTCACACGTGCGGCCGCAGCGCACCCTGTGCCTCGGTTTCCATGGCCGCCTTGTGCAGCGCTGCTGTAGGTTTCTGTGGCGATGAGGAGGAGTTGCTGCAGGTCCCTTGTGACTTCGTGAGGTGCCAGCCCCACAGTGTCCGGGAAGCAGGCGGGGGCGGGGACAGGGATTGCTATCACGGAGGCAGCAGCGCCTTCTCCCTCTCCGTCCCCCCCGGGGGTTGCAGGCAGGTTCAGAGCCTCAGGGTTGATTGCACTGGCCCTGGGGTCCCAGGAAGAGCCCGAGCAATTGTTTCTTTGATCGCTTGGTAAACCAGAGGAATGCTGAGGCCGCATCTGTAGTGCCCAGAGACTCTGTGTAGAGCCTGTCTTTGGTTTAGGAAGCCCAGAAATTCCCAGGAAAGTGAAAGTGGATTTTCTTTTTTTCCTGTTAATATATCACGTGGAAGATGAGAACTTCTTACCGCGTCGATTGCTGTTAAAATACAAAACACCTCTTTGGACTTGTGAGTTCCTTTCCAACAAGTCACCACCAGACTCAGTGACGCTTTGGATGAATGTCATTCTGCCAGAGCACTAATAAAATTAATATTTTGTCGGGGGTCTTGATTTTATCGGGCTGCCATTAGAAGGTATTTCCTTTTTTAAAAAAAGAAAGGTGTTTAAGTCTCAGAAGACTTCAGTATGTGGTCCTGTAGTTTTGTCTACTCAAGTTAAAGGGATGCATTGTGTCTTCAGTGTTCCTTTGGCTGCGGTGAGACCCAGTGGCATTTTGATAGCATTGGGTGCTTCATTTGGCACCTTTCAGCTGGTCAGAGACCCACCCCAGTGGTCAGCTCTTCACAGAAAGTAGATTACGGAAGGAAATGAAGGTTTTTAGCTGGAAACCAGTTTGAAGCCTTCAGAGTGCTGACCATCTGGCCTGAAGTCTCAGGTTGCAAACACTATTTCAGAAATGTTCCCCCCTTTAAGCACAATGAAGAGAATTAGTACTGAAATGGTCTAGCCCCCAATTCCAGGTCAAGGTCTTGCCTTGTACCTGTATTGAATAAGAAAGTTATGTTTCAGATTTCTTCTGACATATTTAAAGGATACAGTCAATTTGGGAATGGACACTCTTAGGGGACTGTTGGTTGTTAAGTGCCGTCCAGTCTGTTTTGACTCAAAGCAACCCTATATAGGTTTCTGGTAAGTTTGAACCACCGACCTTGCAGTTCAAACTGACTTTGCAATCCCTGGCAAAAAGAGCTGTTTGTGTCAAAAATGTTAATGATTATGCAAATATGAGCTGGTCATTTGAAGTGTCACTGTTAGTTAATTGTAGGACTGGGCTTTATTCTTTTCCATCTCTTTGTAATGAAAGTACCATGTGAAAGCTTAAGTGGATTCTGAAACTATTTTAGATGTTTTTTAAAAGAGTGAACAAAACATAATTCTGTTCCCTTCATCAGTTAACCAGTAAAATCCATTTAAGGTGCTCCATGACTTATTAGAGATTGGAAGCCTCTAATATTATCTCTAAAATGACTTTTCCAATTTTCAGTCCTAATTTAAATCATGCAGTAAAAAGGTGAAGTGGAAATTGTGATTTAATCGTCACTTGCTCTATAGGGCGGAGCACAAAGACAAGGAATGCATTCAATCCACCTTAAACAACATCCTTGCCTTGGTCACCTTTGTCAAAATACTCGTCATTCTTTTTTCTCCAGTATGTCCTTTTCCCAGGAGAATACTGGTAACTTGACTTTGAGGTGCTGTTTGTCATGTGCCTTTCCCAAAGAATTCAGTATTTTACAGAGTGCAGTTTAAGCAGACAGTAAAATATATGATGACTTCAGCACACTGGCAGAAAGTTTTCTGCTTTTGTTTGTAAAAGGGTGAGATCCATTTCTGCTTCTCAGGTGGCTGTGGGAGTGTATTGAAGAACCGTGAAGATGATGATAAAACAAATGTCCATGATAGATGTAGTGTATTTTTGTAAAATGCTGTTTTAGTTTACTTAAAACCATCTACGCATGGGCAGTGTTAGGAAGATAAGTTAGTAAATAACGCTGCTATAAAATGAACTAAGGTTTGCTTTTAGCTTTCCCAGTGCAAGTAACTAAAGTCCACAGACTTTGGCTTTGAGAGGAATTGTTTAATGAGTTTAGCTGTAGAAAATGGATTTAGTTGGTTGTCTCAATAGAGACCAGGAATCCTTTTTATCTATTACTGCCTTTGTATAAGTACAGTTTACATGTATTTACACAAGGTCTTGCTTTTCTTGAAGATAAATGCTATGTAAACAGCACGTGTTACCTTTGCTTATAACATGAGTGTTTCTTTTATGACAATTTATATAACAAGACGTCTTTATTAAAGATGCCTGGTGGTTGTGTGCCACTGAGTCGGTTCCAACTAATAGCGACCTTGTTCAGGGGTTCAGAGGCTGTAAATCTTTACCCTCCCCTTACTAAAGATAGAGGATTGCTATTAACTTAAAGAATTCACAACATGGTTTTTGAATAACTGTCTTCTCTATTATACTTCTATAAGGTTTAATATGAAGAATATTTTTCAAGATTTAGTTTGACATACTATGAGCATAGTTTTACTTGTGGAAAACAGTAATTCCTTTGGTCGTTTTATTTTTTATATTTGAGTGGAATGCTATGCACTGTCTTAAAAGCATACCACAGTCTCTTAAAGGAATTTTGTGATATATTAAGCATATGTATCCTGATAATTTTATTAAAAGAAAACTTAAGGTCCTTTTCTGTACTTGAATGTGACAACATCTCTTTTTTAGAGTTTTTAAATTGGAAACTTGATAATCAGAATAATGTTCATTATATACATTTTTAAAATTTCACCAAGAGAGGTCTAATTTGCATTTGAATGTTGGTATGTGCTATTAAAAAAATACAGTGAGTCAACAATTATCTGCACTGGTATTATTTTTATATGCCCGGCCATATCTGTGGCTGATGACAGCATTGAGTGTGCATGTGAATAGATTTCTGTCAGATAGATGAGTGACAGCGAATTATGTGGCAAATCATTTGCAAGTCAGCCTTGACGCTGCCTATGAAAGTCTGCCTCGACAGACTTGGGTGTAGAAAAGTTTGTGTGACATGGGTACCAAAACAACTCCCGGGAGAGGTTGGACATCTGCAAACACAATTTGGACCGATAGTCGATGGGTGGTAAAAGTTTCATTAAAAACAAAACTGTTACTGATGACGAGACATGGATTCATCACTACAAGCCTGGGAGTATGGACTAGAAACATCCTCAGTCACCAACCAAGAAAAAGTTAAAAAGTAAACCATCAATTGGAAAATGGATGCTTCCAGTATTCTGGGATTCTAAGGGCCAGTATTGGAACACTATCAGGAAAAAGGTTTGACAACCAACAGAGCTTGCTCATTACAGTGAGATGCTCACTGAAGAACTGAAGAACTGAAGCCTAAACGTTGGATTAAATGCAGAGGATTGCTGTCTCTGGGAGGCGTAGTGATCTTGCATGACAGTGTGCACATCTCCGCCCACACTGTTGACATTCTGCAAAAACTTCGTTTTGAATTATTAAAGCATCCTCCTTATAGTCTTGATCTAGCGCCATCAGATTTTCCTGTTTGGTCTCTTGAAAGTAGCCCTTTGAGGACGAAGATTCACCTCTGATGGAAGAGTGAAGACAGCAGTGCATTCATGACTCGCAGCTTAGCCTAAAACATTTTAAATAAGGGACTAGAAAGCTTGTTGACAGATGGACAAAGTGTAATGAAAAGGGAGATTATGCTGAAAAATGACATCTTTGTCTTTTCTAAAAATTGATTAAAATGAATTCTATAGCCAGAGTGCATATAATTTTTGACTCACTCTCATATATTGCTTCAATG